CCAACCCTGCCACCAAGCACGTTTGGTGATCTGTGAATCATGAGGGGCAGAGACTCCCTTCGCAATCTTGTGTTTATGATGAGAGCCAAAAAAGGGCTGTGCGTTCTCCAGAAGGGGCCTCACACACTGAGACAGAACTGCACTGTGAGCTTTGGCGTCTCCGCAGCACCTATGCCTATCTCCAGGGAGCCCCGTGCGGAGTGTGGTGGAACCTGGTACAGCTAGCTGTGACAGCACGGCCACCTTTCCCTTCTCCCAGCTTGCACTGTGCCACACACCTGTTCTAGGCCACCTCCCGATGTGCTGTCACAGAGTCCTTCCGGACAGCCAGGCTTGGGGCTTTCCCTCCCCGGGATGCTTCCCGTCTGGACCGTGGGCACTGCCTCCTTGCTCTCGCAGTCACGACTGCTGTTTATGTAGGCAGGGTCCTCAGCATCTTCCACAGTACCCTGCCTGGTTACCATCTGGCTAAGTCACACTGGTTCCGAAATGTCAGGCCTCAGTGTCAGACAGAGAAAGAATTCAGGGATCCAGACTGTTTACAGCAAATCTCAGCAAGCTCTCCAATCTGTGCTTAGAGGTTTGGTGCCAGAGTTGGGGTTGCTTTCCGGCTATGTTGGCTGTAGGAACCCCTTATTCTCACAGAGGCTGGTGATCTTCGCAAGCAGGCTAACAGCCACATCTTTCTCCTTCGGAGAACTAGTCTCAACAGCAGGTCGGTGCTATCAAGGAAGTTCTAGGCAATTTTGAGCTAGACTTTCCCCCACCAGACAGGCAAATAAAAACTTGGCCCGGCACCTCCTGAAAGATTCTAGGAGTTATAAACAGGATACAATTGAAATAGTAAGCATGGGAGGGGAAAGGGAAGCCTCAGTCAGACTTAAAGGCTAGGTTCTGAGTTTAACGACCTGGGACCCGCCCCCCCTGGGAATGGAGGCTCTGAGTGGTTCCCCTCTAGCCTGGGACCCGCCCTTCCTGGGATGGAGGTTCTGAGTGGTTCCCCTCTAGCTACTTCCCAGAGCATGTGGACACTGAGTTAGTGGATAACAGGGCTTCTGGCCATGAGTGAATAGTACCTGTATCCAAGAGGCTGAATCTTCTATATGAGGAGAGTTAGCCTGGCCTCCTAGGGCTGGGTGGTTCAGTATCTGCCTCTTCTTGGGTTAGGCAAGTTTTATTCTCATCAGCTGTCTTATGAATGGGGTCCAGCAGCCTAGCTTTTGGGTATACGCAATGAGGAGAAATGCCCCAAGAGACAGCCAGGGTTTAGGAAGATGGTTTTTAACATGGCAAGGGCTGGGTCTTGGGCCCAAGTCTTCAGGAAGCACATGCCATTGTACACGGCAGGGCAGGAATGTTGGTGGAACTGGCTGCCTGTCCCAGCAGGGTCAAGGCTGGTTTGTCTTCTAGCCTTCTGCTATGGTTAGATGAGGAGAATCACACTACTCCAAGTCCCGGGTTACTGGAGCTTTCGTTCTGGTCGTTACAAGCTTAGGACGGTGGGCTATGAAATGAGGACCACACCAGCATGCGCTGAGTGGCCTGAGTCTGTGGGTGCAGTGGGAGAGCCACACCGGGGTTCATCTTCATACTGAAAAACAGGTGCGGTTGGGTGGCACCATCTCCCAAGCAACAAGCTTTCTACAAGTTTGGTGACTAACTATCCTGATTTGTCCAGGGCTTTGGGTGCTAAAAGCCAGGGACAATTAGAGGCAACTTGAAGTGGCCTCGTACGGTGAATGGGCGGCAGAGGCACCAGATGGGCTCACCTGTCTGCCTGCATTTTCCTAGGGATCTTCACGGCACCGTACGATGGGCGCTACTTGATCACGGCCACCCTCACCCCCGAGAGAGATGCCTACGTGGAGGCAGTACTGTCTGTGTCCAACGCCAGCGTTGCCCAGCTGCATACAGCTGGGTACAGGAGAGAGTTCCTGGAATACCACCGTCCCCCTGGGGCTGTGCACACCTGCGGGGGCCCAGGCGCCTTCCACCTCATCGTGCACTTGAAGGCAGGGGATGGGGTCAATGTTGTGGTGACTGGGGGCAGGCTGGCTCACACAGACTTTGATGAAATGTACTCCACCTTCAGTGGTGTTTTCCTGTATCCTTTCCTTTCCCACCTCTAGGGAGGTCAAGGGAGGAAGGTTGTAAAAACTCCAAAGCTTTAATATATTCAGTGTGTGTCACTGGCGCACGCCCCACCTGTCCCCAGGATAAAGGTCTTCCCTCACTGTAGAGACTGCCACCCCTCAGGCGTTTCCAGACAGCCTTGGAAGTGACACATGGTTAAGGAGGCCCCCATTTTTCTGCAACTCTAACCGGGCAGCCAGAAGACTTGGCAAGTCCCTTTGGCTGAAAGCCGGCTTCTGGACTGGGCCTATGCGGTGCTACCTGTGGAGGCTGCAGCTGCTGCCCAACTGGGCAGGGCCTGCTGCAGCTGGACAACCTGTAGCTGGCCTTCCCTGGAGGACACTGGAGCGGGTGCCTCTCCCTAGGCTGCAAACAGGAGAGTCTGAACACTGAAGTGCTGAAGGGGCCTGGGCCCAGAGTGGAATCTGGGCTACCCCACACTCGGCTTTGTTACCGCCTGGGACTCATCTCTCATCACCTGGGCCCTGCTACAAAGGGGGGGTGCAACAGACATTATTTATGAAGCTTGTTGGGCTCCTTAAATGACATGTACGATATAAGTGCAAAGACAGGGAGCGTCAATAAAGATGTCACTATCACCTTATGTTCCTCTTCTGTATCTCAGACCTTATGGACTGGGGGGAAAAAGCAACCTAGAAAACTTTTTATGGCTATAAAAAGTAATCTTGTGTGTGAATTAATTCCAGCCTCTAAACTGCTACCTTCCGGCTTCCAGGCTGTACACATTTGGGTTCTGATTTTGGCTGCTAAACAGGGACCAGATGTCCTTGAAGGTCAGGGCCTACTGCAGTCCTGGAGCTGAAGAGGGGACTCTTAGGGGAAGTGGTCTGCTTACAGGCGGACGAGACCGCCTCCACTGTGCAGCTCACTGGCAGAGACAGCACTGTGGACTCAAGTTCCTAAGCAACACGAGGCCCCGATATAATCCAGATGGCCGACTGGAAGCTGAGCTCATCTGAGAGGACAGGCACACGGGTCTAGGAGGCCTAGCATCATGGTCCTCTCCCAGCAACCCAAAAGCTCTACGTACATATGGGACATTTAGCTCGGCGGCTTTTGCTAACCAGCTTTGGGGCAAGCTTGTTGATGAACCAGCACCCGCAGGGAAAGGCAACTCCCCCAGGTCCCTCGTAGAAGATACAGACAGGGAAACCAGGGTGTCACCAGTTGTATTCTTAGCCCAGTTGGCAGGAGAGGCCAATGCTATAAAGATGCCTTGGGTTTCACGGGTTGTTGGAAGGACGGGCCTGGACTGCAGTTTTTAGAGCTCCCTGTTTCTACAGCTGGGGAGTTGGCTACAGAGTATCCTTGCCTGTCCTAGCAATGACTAATGGAAAAACCCAAAGCAGCAGTGTTTTTCAGGAAAACCCGGCTGGCACACGGGCGCTTTCGCCCTTTCCTCTCCCACTCTTCTTTGACCTTGTTCAGTGCCAAACTGGCCAAGTGCTCAGTGGCCCAAGGCAGGGACCTGACACTAGGCGCATGGCCACTGTATGCCCGGCTTCCACACAGGTCTCTAGAGCATCAACTAGAGCTCGGCCCGCCAGTGCGTGTGACTTACCTTCCTGGACCCAACAGGACCCGACATTTAGCTCGGCGGCTAAATGTCCCATATGTACGTAGTGGAGCGAGCCCATATTCGCTGCAGGACAAAAGGGAATGAAAGCCAGATGCAGCCCATGCAGGATACAGGTTTAAAAGGGTAGAACCTATCTTTTTTTGGAGATGCCTGTCTGTGGGAGGAGAGTTTGGAGCAGCCCCCCTAAGTCACCACACCCCTCAAGTCATGTGCCCATGAGTCATCGGTAGACACTGAACTGAAGTACTTAGGCTTATGGCTTCAATGGCCTATAAGACATTTTGAGAGTCTAGTTGTCACCCAGCTGGTCAAGCAATCCTCCCAAGCAGGGACAGGCACACACCACATGGCCACGATGATCAAGGTACAACTTGTTAAAGTCAAGGAGTTCTTGATTACTGAGAAAAAGGACAGTATTTACGAACGACTGGGGCTTTCTGCCGGACATGCACACCACCAAACAGGACCATCTGAATGACTACCCAGGGGGACCGCAAGTCTGCTCCAGGCCGATTCTAGATCATTCCCGCTGACAGGCATTCTGTTTCCCCACATTTACAACACATGGACCCTGTCTGCCTCCTAAACGTACACTTGTTTTCATACGCCATCTTATGATGGGAAGGAGGGACACACACAGGTCTGCACAGAAGGGACGGACAGACCAGGTCCTCTGGGCTCCACACTCAGTACTTCAAACTGCTTGAGGAAAACCCCAGTTCTTTATAGTCAGACTCTTTCTAGGCCAAATGATACTACCAGAAGACCTGTGGCTTCTCTCAGCCCAGCCTCGCATCCCAGGAAAGCAGCATCAAACACAGAGTTTTTATTATATGATCTGGACCTGAGGGGACAAGGACACCACTCTTGTCATCGCCTACGTGACGTGGGTTGTGACGTTCACTCTGTTGTCTGCTGGGAACATCAGGACCGTAGCTGCCACATACCTCAAGAGGGGCTTATAAAAGGGGATATTGAAGATTGAGTGGACCCCTAGGGGGCTCTGAGGGCTGGTGTGCTAGCCACACTATAGGGGAACTGACATAGGAATCAATCACTACTCGGCAGAACCTACAAGGCAGAGACATCAGTTCCTGTGGATGGAGCTTCACTTCTGGAATCAGGGTTTACATATGAGCAACCGGAAGAGGTTCCTCCTTTAGACAAAAACGCTATTCATAGAGAACTGATAATTATAATTATCAATCTCTGGCACTAATACAGATAAGATGGTCAAACATCCTCTAAAGGAAAGAGCCCAATGCACTCGGTTTATGTTAGTTTATTATTGTAACATTTTGTTGTGAACATCAAACACTGCACCAAAATATGAGCCATTCATCTGAAGACATCTTTACCATGACTGAGGCACTGCGCTGGGGTTTACAATTACACAACCTAAACTGCTTAGTGACAATGCTGTCTGATTATCAAATGTCATCGGCTGAACACAGTTATGAAAAGAGCAATCTTCCCTCTGCCTTCAAATCAAAATGAAAGGTTTTCACTTGGAAAAAGCACTGACTTCACCCGGTTTTAAATAAATCCCAGCATGCTCAGAAACGAGGTGTCCCAGAGCTACGCAATAACGCTGCAAGTTCCCTGCAGCAATCAACTGCAAGAGGAGAAGGTGTTCCCGTCGTCCTAACCGTTCCTTCAGCAGCACTGCAGAAGGGCAAAGGGGCTGCAAGGACAGAGCCTCCCTGCCACTCAGCTCTGGTCCTTGTCCATGGTTTTTAGCAGCTTTAGTTTTGGGTCATCACAATAGTACGTTTCTTTCCAACCGAAACTATGCAGATGGGTTAGACCACAGGAAGTGCAGTCCTGATCACAGGGCTAAGTGTGCATCCTACACAGCCTGATGGAGGGAGAGCAGCCATCAGTTCTACTACAGTGCTTCAACACTCGACATCAAAGCCAACACTGAAGTTAGAGTGAGCTGGAGGACAGAGGGCAACGCCGACAGCGACTCTGAGGCCAGTCTGCCAACAGTGCCCCGTCAGCATCACCTGCCACTGGCAACAAGGGAGATACTGCAACAAGCCATCTAAGGGTTTGTGTGCAAACACACTTGAGGGCATCTCTCTTTCACAGAAAGAACAAATATCATTTGTAACAAATGGCAATGGATTTTCAGCACAAACCTAATACTTCAGAACACTACAGCAATAGTAATCATCTACTTTCAGCAAGAAGACTCCTTTAAATAAGGAAAAAGAGTTACATTCATTAGCCTAAATACCCACTGATCAATCTGTAGTGACAAGTGCAGGGCTAATGGAGACGGGGAAAAGAGCAGCACAGGCCAGGAGCCCCACAACCTAAGCTGGGCCCTCTGAGAAGGCCCATGTGTCCAAAGAAAAGAGTGTCAAGGAAAAGGAAACAGGCTGCTGAGGCAAAGACTCCACAAAGGACAAACTGAAACTGTCTGAGGAAACATGATGAGATTTTCTGTACCATAGAGATTCTACTGAGCTCAGGGTAAGCGCACACAACTCTTACTCCATAAACCAAAGGGTGCTAAATCCCAGGCGGTGCCAAGACCTTGACAGCATCGCGTGGCCTCGTGGCTGCTCTACAAATCTTACTTCACTGCCTGGGAAGAATTTCACATAAACAACTGAGTTTCCCTATACCTAACACAAATAACTCATGAAGGAGACACAGGCTATTTATAGTGAGGCCAGCACTGTGGAAGCCTGCATTGCCCCCTCTGCGAGCACTGCCTCCAGTGGTTCTGCCACCGAAAACTACGTTCAAAGGTTTTTTTCTTCTATTAAAGAATGTTACATGGTCGCTGCATTCAACTGCAATACTGAAACGAGGCAGGGACACTCAACTCTCCAATCTGGAAAATAACCCCCCTTTCTAAGCCAACTGGGTGAAGCAAACTGAAACACTGTGACAGGGCCAGCCGTCCAGCCACAGGGTGCAGGGCTGAAGTGGAACCATCTTTTCCTGCAGTGTCCACTCTGCTCAGCCTTCATATCCACCGTCCAAGAGGGCTGTGTACCAAGAACCAGTGAAGGTCCCTGGGACGCCTTCCGCCAACACTTCTCTTGATGTTTGCACTGCAGTGACTGTCCACGCCCTGTTGATCAGAGGCTGTGGAGAGTCCAGGACATAACTCTCCCTGTCACATCTGTCCTGACATTTGACAAGAGAGCGTAACTAGGCCAGTGCATGCTGCTGCCAAGAAAATGCAGGGGTACCCACATCCCCAAGAGGCTTCATCTGCAGTATCAACTGTGTGAACTGGACGATGGGCTGGGGCCACTGCCGCTGCTGCGGTGCTGGCTCTCCACAGGCGCTCCATGACCCTCTCTCCCATGCCTCCAGGGACTCATTACATGGTTGAAGTCCAAATGACTGGTCAATGCTGCCAGCCAGGGGCTTTTCCCCTGGCAACTCTGAAGCCAGAACTTCAGAAATCCTTTCCTGAAATACCTACGCACCAGGGGCCACTTCAGCCAGGAGACAGCGTCAGAGGAAAGGGTGACTCCCAGGACCCAGCGCAGCTGCCTTTCTACACTTGTGAGGCAAAGCTGCTGCCTTTTCTGTATTCCAAACCAATTTCTCAGGATTACTCCAGATATAAAATGTGCACTTGTTCTTCTGGCTAGGGTAGAGCAGTAACTCAAATGGCTTCTTTCTCCCTGGGAAGAGGCACAGGTGAGGAGATGATGATGCCAAGGTGCTCTCTCCTCAGAAGCCCACGCTGCTAGAGTTGGGATCATGGTGCTGCACACAGTTGCTGGGGATGCCCATCTTGGCACACGAAGCCGTTGTCCTAGTTCAGGGACCAAGAGCAGAAGTGTCCCGAGGGGACATGGACACGTAGCCAGCAACACTAACAGACTTCTGGAGAAAGCCCTGGTTACAGAGAGAAACCATCAACCGAGCAGTGGAAATTTTAACTCTTTACTGTGTAGTAATGTGCTGGTCGTTCTTGTTTAGTTTCTGATTTCTGCCATTCTAAGTCTTGCAGCCGAGGGGCGCAGCACACGGCTCCACAGAAAGCATGTGAGGAAGCCCAGGTGATGGAGCACAGGCTTGTACCTCAGGCCAAAGGCCCTTAATCCTCTGTCCAGGTGCTGAGTGGTGCCTGGGGAGGTGAAAGAGGGCGGCAGTACCAGCTTCGGGGACCCTGTCCCTGTTCTGGAAAGCAGGTTCCTGACTGTAGGCTCCGGGGTCTTCTTCTGTAAGAGGCAAGTTACTTCCCCTGTTGGGAGGCAGGTGAGTGTCCTCACCCTGCCGTATAGGCTTCGTTCAAGCTAGGTCATCCAGGTCCACATCAGGGATTGGGTCTCGCCAGTAACAGAAGGAACTGAACTCTGGGCACGGAAAAGCAGAATTCTGTTCCTTACTGAGAAGTGGGAACACGTGTTCCACAAGCTCACTCAGCCTGTGATACCTGGAAGGAATTGGGAAGACATACAAGCTGTTATCTAACAACTCATGTTTAGCAAAGACATGGGTTGTGAGGCTGGCTATTCAGATTATACGAAAGGGCTGCTCCGCACTTACTCAGAGCTCGGCCCCATCCCAGGGTGCACACTGTCTTCACACATAAAATAACCAGAGACTCCCTAAGCCACTACCCACAGAGAATGCTCACACAGGTACAGCTCTACTCCTCCTGGCTGGGCCCCGTCTCAGTTCTTATGTGTCCTCAGCTGTATATGGCTGCAACACGAATGCACTTACGATGACTTGTTCCCTTTGGTCCTTTCTTGTATCAGTTCCCCCTTCGGATTCACGGTGAATATCCTACAGTCTGGAACTCCGACTTGTGTGTAAGCATAGACATCCTGCAGAAGACACCAAAACTTAGCTGGCTCTTCATAGGCCAGAACCACTACATGGGCTGAAGACGGGAAATCTTGAGACAAATCCAGAAAGTGCACAGGGAGTCATAAATGGGCAGCAAAGGGCAACTCAAGATCCTCCAAGAATACTGCAGTAACACCTTTAGTAGTCCAGATATGGAGGACTCCCCTCCCCCATAAGATACAGTACACAAGGCAGGGTGAGAATTTGCGTCATGGTTCTGGTGTAGACCAAGGGCATGGCTTCAGACCAGTTAGAACACAGGCAGAACTGACTGAGGAAATAAATTCAAAGGGGTTTGGGGGTGGTGTGGGCGAGGATATCCTCTGTATGCATTCTTGGGGCCAAAAGGTAACTATAGGACTTTCCCAACTTCTAAGGAAATTTGAATAAGCCTGGCCTCTAGTGCAGATCCTGGCTACTCAAGCAGCTGAGGCAAGATTTCAAGTTCAAAGGCTGCCTAAGCTACAGAATGGGTAACTTACTGAGATCCTGTTTCAACAAAAAATGTACAAAGGGACCAGAGGGGTACTCATGGCTGAGAGCACTTGCTGCTCTGCAGAGGGACCTGGTTTGATTTCTAGCACCCACATGGTGGCTCACAACCACCTGTAACTCCAGTTCTAGGAGATCTGACGCCCTTGCTCTTCCACTGGCATCAGGCACACAAGTGGTTCTCTCTCTATATATGTAGACGAAGCACTCATACACAAAAAATAAATGAAAACACACTCCAAAGACACTTACGTTAGGACGGTTTCCAAAGGCAGCGTAGAAGGGCTGCTTGGACGGGGCAAACAGGTTCTTAATATCATTCAGACACTCGATTTTGAACTTCTCTGGTTTCTTCTCTATCACTTCCCTAAAGAAGAGGAGATACAACCACCAATTGAAAATGGCAGTTTCTACCAGAGTCTGTTCTTAGACAGATCTTCACCTTCACGTCGCCCTATGTTCCTAATAACCCGCAGGCACCGTCAGTATTCTTCCTCTTTTGCTAGTCCATCCTGCGATGGAGTATTTGGGTAATAACACTTTCCCTTCATCATCTTAGAGCGCTTCAGGGAGCCAACAAATGACAAAACACAGACACTCTACAGCCTGAGGGACCTGTTAGAGTTCTGTCTCCACTCCCCAGCCCCCAGTGGAGGAGCCCAGCAAGCCCAGCCCATGGGAAAGTTACCTGTGGAAGGCAGAGAACAGACTGCTGGGAGACAGCATCAGAGGGCCTCGGGGCAAGATGGTGCCCTTGTCATTGACCCAGTGCAGATAACCTCGGGTCATGTCGGCCATGCCAATGGCGCGTGCAGAACAGTATAGAAACTTGTAACCATTCCTAAAAAACAGACAAAAACAGCACAAACGCACACACAAACAATCTGGTTAGCCATGTCTTGTGGATACAGGAAAACTTTTTTTTTCTTCTAAAAGATCCAAATAAGTTCCTCTCTTTTACTTTGAAAATGAAATTACTGAACGCAGAAGGAAACCAGTTAGGGTTAGAAACCATGGACAAAACAGAGGCATATGCAAAAACAGATTGTGTTAAACTGCAAAGTGACTTGCACTGACTTAATACATGCTGCACCTAGTTCAGAAAGATCCAGAGAGGACAAAACTGGACTATATGTAAGGATCTAAGGGGCCTTATTTAGGTTGTAGGTCACAAACCAATCTATAGGACAGGAGGCATAATTACACCTGAGTAACTGACGTATTCGGACTTTCATAGTATGGTATTCTCAACTCAAGCTGAAGATGGAACTGTATCTCCAGATCAGTGGCACACAGACATGCTAGGATCCCAAAAAGGAAGGCATGGCTTCCCTTGAGGAACTGTTTTCCATGCATGCTTATGCTACCAGTAAATAAACCAGACATTAAAGTCAGCTCTCCTGATAAATCCTAGCTACAAATAGTTACAGTTCTGATGACCTAGGAAAGTTAGTGATTCCCAGAACTTAGCTGAGTTATGGTAGGTAAAACACAATAATAGGATACCAAGTACACAACACGTTTGAAAACAAAACCAAAAAATACCTAGCCATAAACACACAATGTATACAGATCTGTATTATTTTTCTCTAGTTCTTGGTCAAAACAAAACTGGGAAGAGGACACTCAGAAATGGGTACTCACTCATTGATGGAATGGTATAGCTTCGCTATACCCTGATGAGTCCAGTCTTTACCCAGCTGTGGGAGAATCTGTCCCAAAGCATCAGACCTGGTAAGAGGGTAGAAACAGAAACAGACACCAGAAACCAACATAGAGAGCTGAGCATTTTTATACCGGCTGCCAGTAAGCACTAGAACTGGGGACACTGTCTCAAGGTGGTTTCACCTGACTTCATGTAAAGGCAGGGCAGCCCTGCAGTGACATACCCTGAGGTGCTCCTATAGGGGAGTTACAGGAACGCACAGTATTTATTTTCAGAGATAATCCACTAGCACATCTTTTTTCTCTCATTCCCTAAAATCTTAAACAGTTTGTCTTCACTGAATATTAGAATTTGGGGACCAAGTGGCCAAATCTTTACAAGTTACATTTGAGAAATCATTTGTACGATTCCACACACCTCCCCCTCACCCATAAAAAATGACACCATTTGGGCTGTTTTCAGTATATCTCAGGGCATATGGTTTAAAAGACACTCTCATTATTGCTGGGTTCTGACTGCTTCCCCAACCCATATCCTTCCTGCTACCCACAATATGCTCCAGCTTACTTGGTTATTGTTCCATCAATGTCAGAAATGATGATTTTGTCATTCCAGTTCCACAGGTAGATGGTACCCGCACAACGACAGGTACCCTGATACTGGGTTGTAATACTGAATACAACGTCATTGGGGCCATCATGGAGCTTCAATTTTGCCTTTTATAAAAAGCACAATATTAAAGAAAGCTGAAAGTCCATAGTTTGGAGCAGAATTTAACTCTTTACAATGAAACTCAGAGCATGTGGCTTCTCTGGTGTTAGCTAGCCCCGACGCATGCATGGTTATAATGATTGAGGAGACACATTGCTTGAGTACTGTTTTCCAGTCCCAAGGATTTCCTGATACCCTATACAAAACAAAACCTCCCTATCGTCCATCACACCTAAAATCACTATTCACTGCCCTGGTCACAGCCTCATGCTCAACCCAGGAAAACCATTTCATAGTACAACTGTGTCAAAGTGAGAGGGAAGAAATCGCATTTAAGATGTCATTGCTCTGCTGTTATGAATGCCAAGCAGCAGCATGTGGTCCTGCGCTGAATGAGCAGTAAGATTCACCAGAGAAACCTGCTAAAAATACCCATTCTTTGGTTAATTTCCAGAAACTGGGGCAGGTGTTCTATGTGGGGATGAACCCAGGTCACACGCTCCTTGAGTGATCCTAACTGCTCACCAGGACTTGGGGCGCTGTTCTCCTAGTGGTCCTAACTGCTCACCAGGACTTGGGGTGCTGTTCTCCTAGTGGTCCTAACTGCTCACCAGCACTTGGGGCGCTGTTCTCCTAGTGGTCCTAACTGCTCACCAGGACTTGGGGTGCTGTTCTCCTAGTGGTGCTGTTCTCCTAGTGGTCCTAACTGCTCACCAGGACTTGGGGCGCTGTTCTCCTAGAGAAGCACTCATATAAGCACAACTCTACTGCGTAATACTTACTATCTGGTCCGAGGAGAGCCGGAGAGACTTCTTATATGAAGCTGTGCTACAGTGACTCAGTGTCTCCATGGAGATGGTTTCAACTTTGATTGTTTCTTCCAACTCCTGTGACCCCTCATCACTGGAAGAATCATTCTCTGCAGGCCTAATCAACAAACTAGTCACAAAGAGCCAGGCTACTGACAGATGAGAGGGCTTATAATTTAGGACAAGAAAATAAACAAGTATTACATATCCATAAGCCAAGTCTCCACAAGACTGAGGCAGAAGGATCTGCTCAAGCTTTGGCTATATTAAAACATCATTGGACATAGCAGGAAATATTTCTAAATTTAGAAAATTCCCTTTATACTTCTTTTCCGAGAGAAAGCAAGGAGAGTGAGAAGATGAACCCCAGGCTAGGATTACCACTGTGGGAGTGAGATCAAAGGACAGGGTTGGAATGAAAGCACACACAACACGACCGAGCCACTCAAATGCCCAAATCCACCCTTCAGAAGCTTTTTAATATCCCTCTGCCACTTGAAAAGCAGGGAGTAGGGATACCAGCGGGGCAGTCCCGATTATGTCCAGGATCCCTTCCTGAAGGTCTGCCTTTCCTAGTAGCCTGGCTCTGTGATGGGCACAGTATTAGAAGCAATGCTGTGTGTTTAAGGCCTGCAAACTGGGAAAGGCATTCTTTATCTACCAAGTGCCACTGACAAGCCACTTCCTGTCATGTCTTTCTATAGGAAAAAGGTATTATGGCTAAAATTCAGCAGAATTGCCAAGATCAACTTTGATCTTATACCCAAGAAGGATTGCCAGTGTCGTGAGCTAGGAGAAAGGACAGGGCACCCACCTGGCACTGGCTGGCTCCTCAGCACTGGAAGGTAGGTCATTTGTTGGCGGGACCTCAGATTTTCCCTCCTTGGTCTCTGGTAGCTGGACAGAAAGATGATAATGTCAGTGTCAATGTTTTCTCCAAACTTCGGCTGTAGTCCTTGCTAGGAAATGAAAACCTCCATCCATGACTGCAAAGTTGAGGAACTTTTTCCACTTGAAGTTGAAGGGCAGAAATCACACACTGCTTGTAAAAAGCTATTCACAAAATATAACTGGCCCAATGGTCAGGTATCTGGTTGAGACATGTGGACTGCACCATGGAAGTAACTACTGATGCCTTCTCCTGTCTGTCACCTACAGAAGGGAGAAGGGCAGCCCGACCACACTGATATGGACATGAACTTGGTAAAGGCAAGACCACCCTCTGTTATCTGAAAAACAACAGTGAAACTCCCAGAATTCCCTTCTTTAGAAGGCTCTCTGGACAAACCTGCTCTCCTGCTACTTTGTTAAAAGGGACATTCTGCATGTTTGTATGTGGATTGTGCATGATATAACCTCTGTTCACACCTGAGAGCTAACAAGGAAGCAGAAAGAGTAGTGTTCTGGAGTCAAATTCAAGTTCCGCCCCAGCTCCACCCTCACTACTCACAGGGCTTCACCCAGCTCTGCCTACAAAGTCCAAGCTTCCTAAAAAACTAGCAGCTCAAACATCTGTAGAAAGCAGCAGCGTAGCACCTGCATGCAGCAATGCCTCAGAACTGCCATGCAGTGCCTGTACCCTGCTTTTATGAGTGGTAGAGAAAGTGTTGTGTTTACACAAATCAGTCATTACCTGTTTGGTCATGCTTTCTCTCTTACGCCAAAACCACCACCGACCAGATTTCTTTGGCATCTTGTCTTTAACCCAGGACTCGACCGTGGCCTGCAAACAGTCAGTGTGGGTCAGCACAGGAGATCTACAGTTGTAATCACCGACTCCTCACTACCATTCTTCTGTAGGACAGGGCCTTACTACAGAATGAGAGATGCTCTACACAGCTCTCAAACCATCAAGTGCTCTCCACAGCTCAGTCAGTGTGGGTCAGCACAGGAGATCTACAGTTGTAATCACCGACTCCTCACTACCATTCTGTAGGACAGGGCCTTACTACAGAATGAGAGACGCTCTACACAGCTCAGGAGGAAAGGCCATGCACTCCTTGGAAATGACAAGGCTCCAGGGCAGGTTTGTGTGAGGCCCAGTGGACCTCAGGGTTCAGCAAGCACACAGACAGCTTCCACCTCTTACTCTTGGAATCTGCGGCTTTTATGATACAAAGTCTGAGAAGGAGTGATCTTGTGGTGAGCAGAAAGTTCTCTGTAACAGGCATGCCACCTGCAATCTAACTCAGCCACATGAATGTCGGGAGCCCACTTCTTGCTGTTTCTCCCCATATTGAGAAGAATTTTTAACAGATGATGTAGTAAGACTGGGGACTGCACTCAGACCTTCACACGTTCACGGAAGTGCTCTACCACAGAGCGCTCAGTCTGCAGCTCAGAAACTGGGATACATAAATACTTAACAAAAATGGGGACAAGTGGTAGGCCAGGTGATTGCCTAGGATTTAGTGAATACAGCAGTTTGGATACTAAACTCAGAACCTTGACTAGAATCCAGTAATAGAGAATATAAACTTTTGGACTGCTGTATGTTAGATACTTTGAAGGAGACTTCAAATGCAGATCACTCACCTTAGGTAAACTCTTCTGGAATACTTGCAAGCTAAGGATCATGGGAGCAGCCAAAGCCCAGTTGTAGTAACTATGAGAAATAAAAATTGTGCAAACCCATCACAGAGAGTCAGAAGCAAAAGCAGGGTTTAGGGGCAGGGCTGGAGCCTAGAGAGCGTCGGGGGACCAGAGGAAAAGTGAAAGAATAATCTTAGCAAATTGCTTATTCTCTCCAATAAAGAGATGAACAACTAAATTGTGAAGATTTGCTTTAAGCCAAACTTTTGTGAGCCGAGAAGCAGTAAGACTCATAAAACAGAGACAGCATTGCACCAGCTCAGGTCAAAAGGTGAAGGTTCAGCCTCACTTGTAAATCATTGTGTTCTCATTTGTGTGATAACAAATCTTACAGCAAGGAAAACAAAGGCAGTTGGAAACTGTGGAGTACTTAGCAACGATCAAGGCAACGGTGTTTACCGGTTATATATCCGTATTACAAGGTTTGGGTTGTCGATAAGGCCAGGGTTTTCTGCAAACTCATGGTAAGTGATGATATGCTCCATGAACTTTTCTGCAAAGTAAAGCAGCCATCAGCATGTGAGAGGCACAGATCTCTGGACGGTCACAGCACTCAGCACTAAAGGACTTGTGGGCTTAAAAAGGCGTTTAGAGGAAACTGTTTTCCACGTTTATCAAAAGACACTTTCATAGTTTTAGGACTCAAACTAAACCCCAAACCAAAATATAATAAACCCCCACCCCCTTTCTAACACTCCGTGAACCCTGCTGCCATCTGAAGCAGTTCTGGGGAGAGGGGACAAAGGGTAGCGCTAATGTGATGTGCCAGTCACAGAAGGAGCGCTGCCTTCCAGGAAAAGCCGTTACAGGTAGGGGCCAAACCCAGAAAAGTTGTAACTTAAAGTGAATACAAAGTTGGTAAAGGCAGGACAATTGAGGGATCACATCTGCCTGGACTACAAAGGTCAACCCAGGCAAGTTGATCCAGTGCTGTTCACACTACAATAGCAGGGGTCAGGTGGAGCTAGTGGTGCACTGGCAGTTAACTCTTAACACAGGAGGTGGGGAGCAAAGGCTGCAAGAACATGGGGTGGACATCTCTCAGGCCTGAGACAGAAGGCAATCAGACTGTTTACTCAGTGGACAGACACCGCCCCACAGCTTCAGTCTTCCCTTATTGAGTCCTGAGCTTGTCAGGAAGGCAGCTAGGCGCTCCCCACAGGTTCCTCAGCAGTTTCACATATACGCAAGATCAATGGGACGTGATCCTACCCTGCCACTCTACAGACAGAGCAGCCCGTAAGTTATCAATTTCCAAGTGTGAAATTAGAGTCTCACAAAAGAGGTCCTCACGGAACTACCCCCTACACACAAAGGAACTGTGAGTCTCTAAGACAAGGCTTTATAAAAAGGTACCCACATGCACACAAAGCCAGTCAAGAATTTATGGTAACTGAAAGTAGATTTCATTAATATCTTCCCCTCATGCCAGTAATTTACTGAACAGAGGTCTGGGCACAAATCAAGCGATGACCAGGCTTGCCCTTCTGAGGTGAAGACAGGCATGGCTGTCCAGCATACCTTTAGAAATCTCTCCATTCTCACTGAGGCCTCCACAGAGGGAGAGAGTGACATCAGGCAAGTCCATGGCAGAGTCTGAGAGGCACTCGGTGCCACTGTCTGCAGCTGCACTTCCCACAGACTGTGGGGACTGAGAGCCAGAGAGTGTGTCGGGTTCAGGCCATTGCCGGGAGCCGGGATCGGTGTCACTGTGGCAGACAGAAGGAAGGAGAACAAGGATTTATTCCAAATACATGGTCCTCTCGAATCCTACGAGGAACAGATGGGAAATCAAACGTAATTTCTGGGGTGTATGAGTGCATGATGTATGCATGTAAGTATGGGGTAACAAACACACATGAAAAGGTCAGAGTATGGGGTTCAGCCAGGTGTTTTCTATCACTCTGAGACTTACCTGCTGTAAACATTTAAGTTCAGGTTCCCTGAACTGCAACTTGCCATTTGGGCCAGGCTGGTCAACGACAGAGCTCCTGGGATCTACCTGTCTCTACCACTCAAGGCTGGAGTTAGAGGTACATAAAGTGCTATGCCCTGTTTATGTGGGGGCTGGGAATCTGGACTTGGGTCCTTATGGTTCTCATAGTTAACTGCTCTTATCCACTAAGCCATCTTCCCAGTGACCCTGCTCCACAGCTTTTTAAAGTAGAGTTTAAAAACAGCCAGGTGGCAGTGTGCATGCAGCACTCGGGAGGCAGAGGCTGGCGGATCTCTGTGAGTTCGAGACCAGCCTGGTCTACAAGAGCTAGTTCCAGGACAGGCTCCAAAGCTACAGAGAAACCCTGTCTCAAAAAACAAACAAACACAAAACAACAAAAAGCCTCACATTATAAATAACAGCAGCAAGAATCTGAGGACTAAGAAATTAACTACAAATGTAGTAAACACTTCTCATGGTGCCAGCGTTTCAACTGGGGCCTTCCTGACTGTAACTAAAGGGGTAGAAGAGTTAAAAGCATTTACTCAAATTGCCACAATGAAATAACAGGACAGTTAAGAAAAATCTGACATTTGGAAGCCCTTTGATCACTGCATTCCAAGAAAAAGGGCATGGTAATATACAGTCTGTAGAAAATTACTAAGTCCAAAGCTGTGTTCTGTTTTTTTTTTTTTTTTTTGGTTTTTTCGAAACAGGGTTTCTCTGTAGCTTTGGTGCCTGTCCCGGAACTAGCTCTTGTAGACCAGGCTGGCCTCGAACTTTCAGAGATCCGCCTGCCTCTGCCTCCCGAGTGCTAGGATTAAAGGCGTGCGCCACCACCACCCGGCCTTCAAAGCTGTGTTCTGAAAACAAAACCCAAGGCTTTCCTGAATTCATCTTAATACTATCCCAAACTAGCCTAATTTAAAAGCAGAAACACTCAAGGACAAAGTACTCAGGAGGCCTGACCCTCTAGAACAATGCAGACTGTCTGTATGGCAGCGAGGCCTGAACCTCACTACCCTGAGAGTATTTTGAGACAAGGCACAGAAGGCTTGGTGCCAGAAGGAGCGCACACTGGACATTTGGAACGGAGCTTAAATGTGAAGTAAGGAGATGATGGCACGTCACGTTTCTCGGTCACAATGGAAACTACTCTAATATTTGAGATGCTCGGATTGCTCACCTAGAAGCCAGCTCTCCCTCCTTTTTTGAGAACTGGGGATTGAACCCAGGAGCCTCATGTGTGGTGAGGCAGGCACTGGGCTGCTAAGTGACACCACCAACCCAAGAAGCCAGGGTCTTTCACAAAACAGGACACACCTGGTGACATGAACGTGTACTCCTGGAACATCTAAGGGCTGAGGAGCAGGTGGCAGCAGAGTGTAGAAATGCAGCCATGTTCTCACGGGAAGTTGTTTATGTGTGGGAATTCCCTCTTATAGCAATGCATGCCTTCAAACTAAGAGGAAACTGACAGAGAGGTGGGCTCCTCACAAAAGCCACGCCCACTGAGATATGGCAATGCAGCAACTCGTGCGGTGAGAGAGGGAGGCACAGTCACACTTGGAGAAAACTCTAACAGGAGAGGTCTCTGTCTGCACCTGACTAAGCTGCGGAAGTGGGAGACAGCGGTCTCACACTCCTCCTGTCCGCGTCTGAGACAGAGGAAGGCCTGTGTGTGGGCCTCCCAACACTAGTGACGGAACGCTAGCCCAACAGTAAGACATGGAGCTTTATCAGTGATGGCAGCTGGTGTCATCCAGCCAGAAGGGCATGCCAACATGCGGGCTGCCTTCTGACTCAGCATGCTGCCAAACCCACAGGAATGATGGGACACGTGTGAACATCAGCTGTAAAATTATGACTGTTTAGTAATATAGAGTGACGATCACAACAGAGCACACTCGTATGCAGTAAAAGAGCCGATGACATGCCCCAGTTTTCAGTCCTTCCGCTACATGTGGCTAATCAACAGCAAAACTATAACCAAGTTCCACTGCATTAGTGACGATTTCCTTTGTTCTATTATGAACTCCAGCTGGCTGCCCTGAAACTCGTTATGCAGACCAAGCTGGCCTCTAACTCACAGAAATCTACCTGCGTCTGCCTCCTGAGTGCTGGGTTAAATTGAAGTGTGTGTCAGCATGCTTGGCCTTGCTCCCTATTTTTTAATAGGGATATTTAAAAAAATCCAATATAAAACTAAAGTAAGAGGACTGGGAAATGAGAGAAAGCCATAATTCTAACAGATCACATTTTAATTTTTTCTACCCTTAAGAAAACTGGACCAATTTCAGTTTTTTCATCTATAAAAACCCATTACTTCAAATAAAGTATGTGGGTATTTTAAGATAGTCTACTATACAGAGTTATGAACAAACTTTAAGAACCTCTCAAAAATATCTGTTAAAAATCTTAAATATATTTATATCAATCTCATTTTCCATTCCAAGTAAAAAATGAAGTAGGTTTTCCCAATAAATCATATAAAACAATGCTTGTATATAGTGCACAGTAAATTCAAACCACATTTTCTGAGAATAAAATTAAGTTTTATAATCAGTATATTAAGTAGTAGTTCCTTTTAGGATAAAATGAACTTGGGAACACGGTTAACATACATTGTGTTTGAGGTTCATGGTTGAGTTACCTTATAATAATGAGGGATAGGAAGAATGGTTTTGTGACATGGTAGGGACTATGGGCACTATGGGGACACAGGGTCCCCGAGAATGGGGCCTTATAAGACTCAGGTTCAGAAGTGGATTCACATTCTTCAAAGGAGTGAAGAAATTCTTTGTAAAATGTTTGTAAATTAAAATGTGCTGTTTAAAACATACAAATAAAACAAATGCCAAAGAATTCCTCAAGTGTATTCAGTTTGTTATTAAGGACTATAAAGAACACTATAAAGAACACTAAACTAGGCCCGCAGGATGGCTGAGCAGGTGGAGTGCTTGCTGAGAGAGCCTGACAGCCTGTGGAGTGCAGAGAGGACCGACCCCACTGTCCTCTGCCCTCCACAAGTGTGCACTGTAGCACCAGCATCACTCACACACACACACTCACACACACACACACACACACACACACACACACACACACACCTCTCACGCAGGTCTCTCTCCCTCCTTATTGTACTAAATGTTTCATAAACAACACATTATTTTCAAGTCACTGCACTCAAAACAACACACACTATCTGAGAGCTTCCCCAACCCGAAGCATAAGCAGATTTAGCTAAAGACCATCACTCTGTTCCTCTTGCTCAGATGAAACAACTGGGGTTTCTCAAGTTGTTCACACCTCACCGCACAAACACACATTACCTTTTAGGGAAATAGAGAGCTGCCACTTCAGGCTCAAGAGCCTTTAAGTCATCAAGGTAAATGTCGTCAGGGCCCTGGTGCTGACTTCTTTTGTGGACACCTGTTATTAAAAGAAAAACACACCAGAGATAAGAATTTGTTCTCTATTTACCAACTTGCAATAGCACGAAGTTTTCTAAACAGAATGGGCCACCATCCACCTAAAGCAAGGTCCAAAGATCAATCCCTAGAAGGGTTCCTGCCTTGCCCTTGTCCTCACTTTGGCCCTGCTTCTTTCTTTCTCTGTGTGTCTGTCAATAGTACTTTAGTTCTACAGAGAATATACTTAGGTGGCATGTCCTGGGGTCTTTAAGGGAGAAATGTCACAATGTCTAGAACTTGCTGTTTGTGAGTCAGGAGATGGCAAGGAGACACAGCTGTGCACCACACCACATAAGGATACTTCAGTGGATGCACATATAATGGTGGTACCCAGTAGTGTCTTAGGGGAACATACCATGTTTGTAATGATAGTGGAGTAAATGAACCTATGGCATCGCTAGTCCTGTTAGTACAGCAATCTAATGATGTACATGATATAATGCTTGATAATGATGAAAGTGACTTACTTATATATTTACTATTAGTGTAGGGCATACTCCCATATACCTACTAAAATCTAAAACAGTATGTCATCATATACTAGCAACAGCATCCTGGCACGTTTCCTGCATCTCCTGACTACACCAAGAGGACAAGTCGATTGATTTACACTGAGTAAAAAACAATACTAAATTGCTTGATGACATACTTCTCAGACAATAGCTCTGTCACTAAGTGATGTACCACGGTATGTATAAAACTTTCATAATCAAGTGGGGGGGGGCGGTGAAGAGAATAAAGCTAGACAACAGTAGGAATCTTTCTCCTATCCCTGTGAATTCCTACAGTGTCTTAGACCATACAAGACCTGGTCATGCCCCTTAACAGTTCTTACATCAGAATACTTGGTGTAGATTTCTGAGAGTCACTGTCAGCTAGTCATCAGATTTGGTCACAGATCCCCTTGACAGCCAGTCTTATTTTTGACAACTCATTTATGAATGATCTGAGTCTGTATCAGTTTGTCAAAATGGAATGTTCCATGCTCCTTTCCTTTTTGTCTTCAAAGTGAAGCAGGCACTCAGCTAATAAGACAGGCGGTTTTAGGTAAGGTTTTACTTCCTTAGATAAAGGCTCCAAGTCAACATTCAATGTGTGTAGTTTCTGACTCTTACTGAGACAATTGTTACAGAGTAAGGGCTGGGCTCATCCACACCAATTTAGGAGGGAAATTAGTGAAAGAAAGCACTAATAGTTAGTGGACACTTAAAAATATTTCTATTTTAGGTGTATGGTGTTTTGCCTGATATATGGCCATGTGCTTGGTGCCCAGAGACCAGAAGAAAGCACTGAGTCCCCTGGAACTCGAATCACAGATGATTGTTAGCTGCCATGTAGATGCTGGGAATCAAATCTAGGTCACTCAAAGTGCAGCCAGTATTCTTTTTTTTTTTTTTTTTTTGCCATTAGAAAATTTAATGAAAAATGAGGTCTCTGGGGAAAGATCTTACCCAGCGACTAGCCCCAGCCCTTCCTGGTACCCATATGCAGGTTAGGAAATCCTGATTACAGTCAGATGACTCTGCACAGGCAACAGGCCTTAGCACCCGAGTTTGATGTACATGTGGATAACAGAGGACAACTTGAAGGAGCCTGTTTTCTCCTTCTCACTTCCGGGTATAGGTGGGCACTGCCGCCAGCCTGCAGGCTTTGGCTAATGGTTCTGCCTTTGCCTTTCATTTCCTCACAGGGCGATCCCAGTCTTTCCATCACTAGCTCTGGCTTTTGATTGTGGGTTTGGGGGAATCAAACTCGGGTGCAGCCAGTATTCTTAACCATCGAACCATCTCTCCAACCTCCCGTAGGTATTTATTTTTAAACCATACGAAACCTACAAAAAATTTCCTTTAGCTAAGCAGATGTCTGAGAAAATATTTTTTCTCTATTCTACTTTTACTTTTATTTAAGCAAAAGGCCATTTAAGATTTTACTCACTAGCATATTTAGTTAATAATCAAAGACAGCACATGAATCTTGGCAGAACCTTAGTTTAAAAGCATAGCACAGGTTGGGCGGTGGTGGCACACGCCTTTAATTCCAACACTTGGGAGGCAGAGGCAGGTGGATCTCCGTGAGTTCGAGGCCAGTCTGGTCTACAAGAGCTAGTTCCAGGACAGGCTCCAAAGCTACAGAGAAACCCTGTCTCGAAAAACAAAACAAAACAAAAGCATAGCACAGATGCTTAGTGTACCTGGGGAATATACATATGATTTCCTCACACCGACAGTGTACTGCCACTGTACTCACCAACTGATCAGAACACAATTCATTTACTTTCTTAGTACTTCTTAGAGGTCCACTGAGTATTGACTCAAACTAATAGAAGGGCATTTACCATCTTGTTCGGAATTTAGAGAAGAGAAGCCACATGGGTAAGTCATCACCATGAAGTCTGGGACATGTTCTGACTGGAGATCACAAAGACAGCTGTCTCACAGTATGTGAGACACTGAAATAAGACACCATCCACTGATGCTGTGTGATGTCAAACACACAATTACCTTTCTTCTTTGTTGGTGAGTCTACTTTAGCAGCTGGTTTGGATTCTGAGGGAGCGTCTATTGAGGATGGACTGGGAACATGGTCTGCATCTAACATAGATGAAGTCTGAGGAGCCTCGAGAGGCAGTTCAGGAAGTTGAGCAGAAGCTGCATCACTTGGCTGCTTACACAGGGCTCTGGGTTTGGGTTTCACTATGGTACAGATAGTATCTTCAACAGTAGCATCCTTCTCGACTTCTCTTATGAGGCTGTCTTCACTGGGAATGACCCTAAAATGAGTGTTTTCCGACGGTGTAATTGTAGCGGTCCTCGGATGACAGTCATATCTTTCTCTTTTGCTGACCTGCAAATATGAATTGTTTAAAAATGCTCATCTTGAGGGAAACAGCTTATAGCACACAGAAAAACTTCATTCACGACCCTACTGTTCCTTAAGGCAACTTAAAGCACTCAGTCATATAAACAAGTCAATTTCTGTTTTTACAAAACTGAATTCAACATGGGATTTAAATGATTTTCTTCCAAGAAATGGATCTTTCAGTACATTATTCCCTCATCGTGAGCAGCTGAAAAGTTTATGAACCTCCTCCTGCCCACTGTCTAGAGCACAGCAGGCAAACCTTCACCAGCTGAGTGAGATCCTACCCTAACTTTTGGGATTTAATTTTTCAGTGTGGAAACTCTAGTTTCTTTTAGGTATCTTTAAAGTTTTTTACTCAGCATTATTTGTTATATGTAGAAACACAAAAGATATTATTGTATTAAGTTATAAGTAAGTGTATAATGGAAATTTCATAAAGAAATGTTAATTTTTATTTATCTTTCAACCACAAGAGGGCAATGCCAGCATTATGCTCTGAGCTCAATAAGAAATTGCTTCCTTTGTTTAACAGCAAAGGCTCTTTACTGGTGTTTACTCATCATGTGGGAGCCCCCTCTGGGTGATGCTTACATTGGTTAATAAATAAAGAAATTACCATGGCCTGATAGGGCAGAACTTAGGTAGGCGGAGAAGACAGAACTGAATTCTGGGAGGAAGAAAGCAGAGTCAGAGGGACGCCATGGATCTGTGGCTGGAGGTAGACGTGCTGAAACTTTTCTGGTAGGCCACGACCTCGTGGTGATATAGCGATTGTCAGAAATGGGTTAAATAAAGATGTAGGAGTTAGCCAATAAGAAGCTAGAGCTAATGGGCCAAGCAGTTTTAATTAATACAGTTTCTGTGTGGTTACTTCAGGGCTAAGCTAGCCAGGTGGCTGGGAGGAACAAGTGGCCTCCTTGCAACATACTCAGACACATCCTAGTCTTTCCAGTAAGTCCCAGTACCTTGGTAGACTCTGGGAACCCGCCCCACGTCCACTCCATGTGAGACTCAGATCTGAGCAGGCTCTCGGTGGGCTTCACCTCCAACTCTGAATCACTCTTAGGACACATAGCCTGGGAATAAGTGCTGCAAACACACAAGAACAAAGAAAAACAAGGCTCAGTGTGTAGAGAAAAGTAAATGTAAGTGTGAATATGTCAACTACAAGTACAGACACTCCACTGAGGGAAACATCAATTGCTCATTCCACTTGAGGTCTTTACTAAAGTAAAAATGACAGTGATTATTAAGGATTTTCCAGGTCTCCTGTAGGCCCTCCATAATGTTTGCGTCTCACAGGAAACCAATGATACAGTTAATTTTGTAAGACAGGAAACACACAGGAAGGACGATTAATAATCAGCTAACATGGGCTGCAGAAATGGCTCAGTGGTAAAGAACTGGAAAACCTGGGTCCAGTTCCCAGGAATCCATGGCAGCTGGCAATCATCTGCTAACTGTAATCACCTGTAACTAACCTCCTAGGCGATCCAACTTCCTCTTCTGGTTTCTGTAGGCACCATGCATGCATACGGTGCACAGACATATATGTAGACAAGACAATTTTATGCATAAAATACATAAACTTAAAAAATCATTTAAATTCTGAAGGTTTGGTCACAGAAAATGAACAGTATGACCATACATTCTTTCACTACATTATTTATTTGACACCAAATAATAGAATTTAAAAGTAAGAGAGCAAATTCTATCCTAATTATTCAGATTTACAACTAGCAAACACCATCAGAATAAGATTAAATTTAGGAACAAAATGGTTGTTAAAAACAGTTCATATTCATGTTAAATTTTACCTGATGGTTACTCTACTATTATATAAACAGAAAGTGTTATTACTATCAAATAACATAAAAGCTACTAATATGTACCCCCCTCTTCCCTTAGGAAAATAGAAATTTCAGAGATACTCACGTTTCTAATGGGGACCAATCTCCATCAGATAAGGGATAGTGATCCCCGGAATGGAAGAGTGGAGGCTCCTTATAGTCTTCTTCCTTTAAGGAAGCATTTGAAGATCCTCTACGAAAGGGAAAAAGAGAGCAAAAATGGGTACCAACAAGTCTCTTATCAACATGATTAGCAGCATCTTCTGGAAAAGGCTAACATGATCAAGGAGGTATGACCAAAGCCACCCACCATATAACAGGAGGATAGCCAGTAGCCATATCATAGAAGGATATAAAATAAATGTGATTAAAAATTTCTGATAGGCTAGGGATGTTGCTCCATTTAGTACAATAAATTGTCCAAAGTAAAAGCTATGACTTCACTTTTCATCATTAGGGAATTTATCACACATCAGTATGAGGTTTATATGGGGTAGCATGTGGAAATCTCTGGAAAGCATAAGGCACAATCCCGCAGGTTTAAGAGCTTCTTATAGAACACTCAAGATAGTGTGTTGAATGTAAACTGGAATCACACCATTAAATTTGGTGGGCTAAGAGCACAGAAAGAAACTGCCATTTGTTCTTCAACCACTACCACATGGATGTCCTTCCAGGGCTCAGTCAAACAGGTGGAAGAAAATTCCAGCTTAAGTGAGAAAACAATGCACACTCTGCCTTAAACTGCTCCCTTGAAATTTCAGGTAGTTCTGATTTGAAAAGTGTTACAGGTTTTGAGTAATTCTACTAACTGGTATGTAAGTGGTGATTAGAAACTCACACTTAAACTGAAACTCCTTTAACTTATAAACTCAAAACAAAACTCTGTTTCCCAGGAAAAGGTCTGATACCAAATATAAGAACCTGAGAAGGGATGCCAGGTGTATTGGTATATACCAATCCCAGTACTCAGGAACTGGAAGCAGAAGGATTATGAGTCTGAGGCCAACCTGTGCTCTACAGTGAGACCCTGTGGAAGGAGGGGGAAGCAGAAAATAAAAGGGGATAAGGAAGAGAATGGGATGGGAAGGGAAGGAAAGGGGAGGAGGGAGGGATGGGGCAGGCAATGAAGGAAGGGGAGAGGAGGGCATAGAAGACAGGAATAGAGAGAAAGGGGAAGGGAAGGGAAAAGGAGGGGAAGGGGACGGAGACGGAAGAGAGAGAATGAAGGAGAGGAGGACAAAGGGGCAGGGAAGGTGCAGAGGAAGGGGAGGGGGAAAGACCCTAGGGTTGGAAAGCTACACAACTGGACTATAATGCTCCCACTTGAATCTGTGCACTCCTAGCGAAGTGCTCAGTAAGAGCCGACAGTCTCTTTTCTGAAACGTACTCAATGGAACGAGGCACGCCTCCAGACTGTCCCGAAGAGCACTAGCAGCACACCAGATCTGACAGTAAGTGGGATGTGATGCTTCTTCCTTCACTGATCCCACAATAAACAGTTGGGTGAGGGCATCAGACTCACACTACACACCTTCAAGAGTAGCAGCAGCTACTGGCTGCCTGGGGCTCTACTGGGTGCACAAGCCCCTGTCCAGACTGGGAATCTTACCTTGCTGTCTGGGCTCCCTTTTCATCATCAGAGCTCACACCCACATCACATACGTCTTCTGCGACAGGAGAAGCCGCCTGTTCCTCCTTCCTATTATCCTGTTTGCACTTTTTTCTCCTTCGTTTCTTCTTTTTCACAGAACTTGGAGCGAAAACTGTCTCTGTTTCCAAGGTGTGAGAAGTATCTGGGCTCTGAGATGGCCTTTCATCTCTGCTTGACTTCACCAAAGGGGTGTCAATATCTTTAAAGAACTGGTCTTCAGTAGGAATTGGCGAAGTGGCAAGATAAGCAGGTAGTTTCTCCTTAAAGAATAAAAGAAAAGTTATCTACAACAAACTGGACAGTTATCAAAACAATAATTAATTTCTCAAGTATACAACTTTTCACAGGGGTAAGAGAGCATAGTCCGTAAAGGTAGACTTAAATAAACGTGAGTTCATTTCAGTATGTAACTGAGTCTTTCTCAGAGCCGCACTGAAGATGAAAAGCCTACAATTAAATTCCGAGCCGATTAGTTAGGCAGTGGGGGAGCACGCCTTTAGTGCCAGTAAGAAGAAGGCAAAGGCAAGAGTATCTCCTTGAGTTCAAGGCTAGCCTAGTAGCTGAATTCCAGGACAGCCAGGGCTACACAAAGAAACCCTATCCTGAAAAACAAAAACAACAAAAATAACCTGAGCCGATTAAATTCTGTACAAAGAGCTATCAAAGTGGCAGCAGTGTGCTGAGTATTACAAGGACTGATGCGATGGTAAGAACCTGGTGAAGCAGAGGCCAAGGCCAAGACCACATCTGACAAGGGCAGCAGGGCAGGATTGAGAGCCAAGTGAGGAAGTGATCATGACAGAGGCAACATCCGACAATGGAGGAGATCAGAACACTTCGATCCAAGTATCCTCTCAGGAACTCAGAGGAAGAAAAGGCAGCCTGATATTCAGAATAATTAAACTTTTCAACTTAGTACTGAATAAATTAAATCTAGTGAACTTCTCAATCATTTATTTCAATCAGAAGAAAGGAGAGGTAGACAAGCACAAATTAACTGGCCCATTGCGGGCAGGTGGTCCTGGCTGGTATAGGAAAATAAGCCGTAAGGAACACGTTGGTAAGCAGCGATTCTCCAAGGCCTCTGCCTCAGTTTCTGCCTCCAGGTCCTGCTCTAACTTCTCTTAATGAAGTAAGCTGTAGGGTGAACTTCATGGTTCACACAATAGATCACAGCAATAGAAACATAATTAAGACATCTACCAATAAGATGATTCGATAAACCAGGCAAATCTACACCTTGGAAACCGTTAAAAAGAGGGGTTGTTATAGAATTGCTGACTGAAAAGGAATGTTGATAATGGTCAAAAAGTCAGATAAACAAAAACTAAATAAACAGCACCTATGCGGGGGGGGGGGGGCACACAGAACAAGGAGGTTCTCTGGGAGTTCAAGGCCAGCCTGACCTACCAGGGCTAGTTCCAGGACAGGCCCCAAAGCTACAGAGAAACCCTGTCTCAAAAATCCAAACCAAACAAAACAAAACTCCACCACATAATAGGGTTTTTGTTAACTTTTAATCCCCTTTAAAAGCAGGTCTTGGGCTGGAGAGATGGCTCAGCGGTTAAGAGCTTTGCCTGCTCTTCCAAAGGTCCTGAGTTCAATTCCCAGCAACCACATGGTGGCTTACAACCATCTGTAATGAGGTCTGGTGCCCTCTTCTGTCCTGCAGGCATACACACAGACAGAATACTGTATACAAAATAATTAAATGTTTTTTTTTTTTAAAAAGCAGGTCTTATTTTATTATTATTTATTCATAGAAGAGTAATTCTAGTATTTGTAGGATGAATCGGGACTTTTTTTTGTTGTATTATTTTTATTTTAAAGAGGCCCTTAGTATGTAGCTCTGGATGTCTTAGAATTTACAATTGTATAGGAAAATCTAGTCTATTTAGTCATATATGAAACAGAGAAAGTTTTGCAAAGTTGATGCTCTTCGAGTTGACCTTGCTAAAGCAGGCTCTAAACAAAACTGCTGGCAGGCCCTGTAGCAGGCAAAGGATCACTGGTTTACATAATGATAGTCAGTGATAGGGCCTACATCTGATGTTCAGAAACATCAAACACAATTATGCTTATGATGCCTTACTCTGCTCTTTGCCTTTGCTTCTGAGGAGGTGAAACTGTGTTTATTATAAATGCAAACGAGGTACTAAAACACCAGTAAGATGTCCAGGAAGACAACAGGATAACCTCAGGGCTACCCCACAGAACAGTGCCTACACTGGCGCTCTTTCCCAAGCTCAGAAAAAAGGCAACCAAAATAATCCTGTTTTGCTATTTGTTATTTTTGTTGTCATTTTTCTCTTTGTGAATTCACAACATCAAATTAGTAGTTCACCTTCAAACCCCCAAAGTCTCTGTATCCAAATAACTTGAAGCTTCTTATTTTTGCTTTAAGATTTAATTTCTTATGGAAAAAGATAGTGATGCTTCTACAGGGTTTTTAAAAAGAGCCATATTGACTACATCAAGAAGAGTTTGTTCTTGTTCCCACTCAGGAATACCCAGACTGCACAAGGACATGGGGCTGGTACAGATGATCTGTCTTATAGAAGTCACATGTACACTAATATGCAAGATGACACAGGCCAATTGACTTAACTCTTGACATCATAATTCAGTGGCTCTTAAGGTCATGGGTATAGTATTCCTAAACAAACAAAAGAATCATTTAAAAAAAACCCTTATTACTATGGGGGGGGCAGGTGGGTGGCACAGCATCAGTACGGCATCAGAGGACAACTTTCTGGAGAAGTTCTCTCCTTCCATCTTTATATGGCTCTAGACACCAAACTCACATTGTCACACTGCCTATCTGGAATGTGTCTTTACGGGATAAGCTATCTCTCTGGCCCTGTAAACATGTCTTCTGAATTTAAAGGTCACATATGTACATACTCACACACAGTTTAAGAGATCCATCTCGAGGCAGAGCTGAATGAATTCAAGTCAAGTCATAAGCTTTAGTGAACATGAAGTAGGAAAGCCCTTTGATACTAGACAGTCTCCAAACCCTGAAAGCTGGTGTGAGCTTTTTTTGGGTTTAGTTCAACATGTAAAGAAAGCCTGTTAGGCAATAACAATCATCCACACAAGCATGGGAAGAGCTGAGCAGTTGTTCTGAGACGTGTTCTAGAAGCCGGCACAATGTGCACAGGGGCCGTGACCTTCGAGACTTACATATTCTTCTTCAGTCTCCTCCACAAAGAAGGCTTCTCCATTATCACCCAATTTCATATGAAGATCCACCGCACTGCCGTTGATCTCTATATCAATCTAGGGAGGAAGCACACACAATTCAGCACAAAGAACCTTTCATCTAGGCTAACCTAAACCTCAATTCTTGGCTCACACGCCAAATGCAGCACTGGGTTTCTAGAGATATAGCCCAGAGAAACACTGTTACCAGCCCGAGTCTACCCCTGAAAGAAATAAACTTGGGTACTGAGAGAGAATTGAAAGAAATGTTTTCACAGCACTTTAAAATTTATTGCTTAGTCTCTAGATTTTCTTTTCTTTCTCTCTTTGGGGGACAGGGTCCTGCTAAGTTGCCTATCCTGCTGTTGAACTCACAAAATTCAGGCTTAGATTTTTCAAGTGCTGCAGTTACAAGTCTGAGCCACCACACCCAGCTTAACCTGCCGAATATTGCAAAATGTGAGAAATATTGTTAACAAACATTTCTGTGTTTCCCAAGTTATAGACAGCATAATAAGGCTTGTCTCACAGAATTCAAACATTAAAATGTTTCAGTACCCTCGTATTGAGCTTTGTGTGAATTCCCTGCTAGGTTTTTATCCCAGGTCACTATGTAACAACAGATGCTGTAAGGACCAACGAGAAATCACTGGTCTGCGAAGTCTGCTGGTGACCGGCACTGCGTTTTGTTATTCAGGTTAGCCACAGAGCAAAGCTAGGGGGCATGTGGTTATAGCTATCTAACTTTTGTATTTGTGCGTACATGTATGTATATCTTTGTGTGTATGGTGCATATGCACATGTGTGTGCATGGAAGTCAGAGATCAAACTCAGGCTGTGAGTCCGTTAGGCACTGTTCATCTTTCTTGAGACAGGGCCTCTCACTGGAACCTGGGCTTGCCTGATTAGGGCAGGCTGGCTAGGCAGAAAGCCTAGGAATCTGCTTGTCTGTCTCCCCAGAGCTGACACAAACAAGCACATGCTACCATGCCCAGTACTTACACTGGTTCTGGGGAATCAAACTTGGCTCCATGTGCTTGAAGAACAAGCACTTCACTGACTGAACCGTGTCTCCAGACCTCATGTAACAGTTTATAAAAATGAACAATTCAAGGAGGAAACTATTGGCCAAGATAGAAAACATGGGGGAAAAAAGAACTGATAGCGATGTAAGAAAAATTCAGCATTCCCAAGGTCTCACCTGGAAAGTGAGTCCATATCAAAGAAACGTCCACAACCTCCCAAATGCAGAGTTGTGGAGCCCAGGCCCAATGTATACACAAACTCTTGAACTCAGGGAGCATTGCAGGAGAGGGGCAGGGAGATTGTAAGATTGTGCTTCCTGGGAATGTTAGAGGTGACATGAGTCTCACCAGCACAAGATGAGCAAAGACAACACTGTAGTATGTGTACATGCTAATGTGGATGTGGGCGGGGAGACGAGAGGCTTCAACCTGAAACAGGCAACTACAGGCAACTACGGACGCTAAGTGTGAGAAAGTCTTCTCCAGACTTATCATGATCTGTCCTGAAAACATACACACAAATAACATTATACAGACTGTTTCAGATCACACACACACACACACACACACACACACACACACACACACACACGTATTTAACAATGAATGAATAAAGAAATCAAGAATCAGCCAGTCAGTGGTGGCACCATGTCTCTAATCCCAGTACTCAGGAAGCAGAGGCATGCAGATTTCTTTGAGTTTGAGGCCAGCCTGTAGTTTTGTTTTTTTTACCCCCCTCTATTCTCTCGGTGGTGGTGGGGCACCCAGTTCCCTAGGAATCACATGGAAACTTATTCTTTTTATGAAAGCCTAGCATTAGTTTGGCTTGTTTCTAGCCAGCTTTTCTTAACTTAAATGATCCCATCTACCTTCTGTCTCTGGGCTTTTATCTTTCTCTATTCCATATACTTTTCTTTCTTACTGTATGGCTTGTTGTGTTATTGTCCCTGATGTCCTTTTCAATCCTTCTCTTTTTCTCCTTCTACTTAATCTCCCTGCTTGACAGCATCCGCTAACCTTTCTCCTGTCTAGTTATTGGCTGTTCAGCTCCTTATTAGACCAATCAGGTGTTTTAGACAGGCAAAGTAACACAGGCTTACAGAGTTAAACAAATGCAACATAAAAGAATGCAACACATCTTTACATGATTAAACAAATGTTCCACAGCATAAACAAATGAAACACATCTTAAACTAATATTCCACAACACCAGCCTAGTCTATAGAGCGAGGTCCAGGACAGCCAAGGGTACACAAGGAAACCCTGTCTTGAAAAACCAAAACGAAAAATAAGTCATGAATTTGAAAGAAAGCCAGGATGGGTATCAGGGAGGGTTTGGAAGGAGGAAATGATGTTAATTATAATTTCAAAATAGAAAATATAAAAAAAGAGAAATTCAAATCAAATTTGAGCATTCCAGAAGAAACAGCTCACTACAGGAACCATAAGCTTGGGTGAAATATGCGTGTGTGTGCCTACATCTAGACCGGTTTCCTGATTTGCCACCTGAGACATCTTAGAAGTAATGAGAAAAACCTGTGGTCAGATTATTGCTTTTAAATACTAATTGAGTTAAAAGCAACCAGAGCGCTTTGGACACGTAAAATGAATGATTCTAAGGCCGCAGCAGGGAAGATTTTCCTAGACTACCATATGGAAGAAGGAACAAATATGTCAGTTTAAATAACTAAAATTATAAGGATAAGGGATAAGGCAAAAGCTATATTGTAAAACTAATACTATGGATTCACATGGAGAGCAATGGAGTAACTGAAAAACAGACATAAAGATAAAGATGGCCCTTAATATAAAATTTAAATTAAGAACTGGAATAAGAAAGGTAAAGATAAATCACAGGTACACACATTAATAATTCTGTAGATAAATTTTATCAATGTACGCTAAAATTTATGTGTTGAACGATTATGGGAAATGTGAATATTTGTGCAGTAAGCCAAATGAGGAGAAAAACAGAACATTTTCCTACAAGGGGCTTTGTGGTGGAGCAACCCTAGCAGACACCGTGAATCAGGGATGCACAGTGAGTGTCGACAGTAACAAGACACGCAGTGCAGAGGAGTGTGCTTTAGAAGAGTAAGCATCATTCTGAACTGATATTTCAAAGGAGCAATCTCCACAAAGACCTCTGTGTCCCTATATTCCTTACTGGACAGTCTCAGGGAAGGACTGAGGAGCATCAAGGACATGCAGTACAAGATCAACAATGGAAAGGACAGTGGAGCAGACAGCAGACAGTCCTAGAAAGCCCGATGAAATCCGGGTGATGGGTCTGGTTGACAGCGTATGCTGGCACACATTTCTGGTTTTGGCACAAGTACAATGGCCATATGAAGTACTAACATTAAGGAAAATATATTACGCAGAAGAATCTTTAAACTTTTATTTCTTAAAACTGTTATATTTATTTCTGAATATTGGAGGTTTAAGAACAACTTTCTGGAGTTGATTCTTTTGGGTCACCAGGTTCTGCGGATGAACTTAGGCCATCATACTTGAATGACAAGCACTGTCACTACTGACCATTCTCACCCATCTAAAAGATTTTTTTTTTAAATTAATTTTGTGACTTGCCTGGAAGTCAAAAATTAATTTAAAAAAAAAAAGGATTTAAAAAATTAATCATTATCACTTGGGAGGCAGAGGCAGGTGGTTTTCCATGGGTTTGAGGCTAGCCTGGTCTAAACAGCAAATTTCAGGACAGCCAGGGTTTGTTTGCAAAATAAGACCCATCTCAAAAAACAAACAATAAATAACTGAATAAATAAATGAAAGTTGATTAGCATGACACACCAGGAGAACGAAGAAGGAAGAGAGTAAATTTGAAGGTAGCCCAGGCTATATACAGAGCTACTAGCCAATTGGGATCACTTAGTGAGATCCTGTTTCAAACATACAAACAATGTTATAAAATACCGTAAGAAACAAAGGCATGGGAAACCACTGGAGACTAGAGGAGACTAAGGAGACAGGACAACAAAACGTTTCTCATCCTGGTTGTAGAGATGGTTTGCATGAGGTTAAAACGTGTCATGAATTCTTTAAGTATATGTAATTTATCATGTGTTAATTAAAAACAAACCCAAAAAGGTTAAATATCACAGACAGTTAATAATACAGTAATTATCCTACACAAACACATTCTCTTTACCTCTTAAAGGAAATGGCCACATTTGCGTGTGTCTCTGTGTGTGTTTATGTATACATACACTAGTGAGCCTCTGTGAAGAGGCCCAAGGTTGACCTTGTATGCCTTTCTTGACTGCTCTACACTTCATAAACTGAAGCAAGATTTCTCTGGAACTTAGAGCACTTTGATTAGTGTACCTAGACAGCTTGCTCCAGGGATTCCATCTGTACCTCCAGTATGCTGGGATCACAAATGGGCCATCCACCACTCTGTACAGCAAGTGCTTTTACCCACTGACCCAATGTTTAGTCAGCTTTCTTAACATTTTATATTACTGAGAATATTTACTGCCAAGAAACCAAGGGGTAGAAGTATGTTTCTGAGGTCCTCGCAGCCTAGCAGCTTCCTCTACAAGGACAGAATGATGATTACTAACTTAAAACACTGTAACAACAGTTGAAGAGACAGCTCAACAGGTAAGGCACCAGAGCAGTGGAATTCCCAGCACCTAGGTCAGGCCGAACACAGCTGTTTAACTCCAGCTCCAAGCACACACCCTCTTCTGACTTCCTCAGGCAGCTACACTCACAAGGTATATATATATACAGACACATATATGCATTAAAAGTAAAAAAAAAGGTAAATATTTATTTAAATGAAATTACTAATACTAATATCGTCTTTAATAAAAATAATTTACATGGATATTCTTCAAATTTTTCATTTTTAGATGCTATTAATTTAACCCAAAGATGGGAAATGAAATAATTATTTTTTAATATTCAAATTCAAAGTCTTAATTATTTAGGTATCATCTTAACACTTCACAGCCATTATCTTATATTTCAAATACATTATTCTATATACTCACTATTTAACTCTCTTGATTTGTGGATGAATGAAGCTTTGTCTTTCCAAAAATTTAAATGTATATAAGATTGTGCCAATATTGAGTGCACTTAAAAGAATATGCAAAAACTCTTTAGGCAAAAAAATTTAATGCATTTATGTGTATGTGGGTGTGTGCATGTGCACTGTTCCCAGTTGGTGGAACTATTTAGGAAGGATTAGGAGATGTGGCCTTGTTGATGGAGGTGTGTCACTGGGGGTAGGTTTTGAGGTTTCAAAAGCCAGGCCAGGCCTCTGTCTCCAACTTGTGGACAGGAATTCAAGCTCTGTTCCAGCGCCAGGCCAGCCTGGCTGCATGATCCCTGCCATGATAGTCGTGAACTCCCCACTAAAAATGTGCCACTAATTAAATGTTCTCTTCTTCAGTCTCTTCACAGCAATCAACAGTAACTAAGAGAAGCACCAAGGTAGAACAAGTGCTTCCCAAAGTTACTATTTTAAAGAGGACTCTCAATCTGATAGATCAAATTCTAGTAAAACTGTCTGCTAAATTAATGACTTTCTTTCTCAGAGTTATATTTCCTTGACAGTGGTTTAGTCTTGTTCAATGTATATAACTGATGTTAATATGGAAAGATACACACAAGTAATGTATTAACAAATAAATATCTGTTTTGGCATGCTCTCTTTGGGTGAGAATATTTCTAAATATCTTTTGGGAATCTGTCCACCCTTATTTCAGACTCTACATTTCAAGTGGATTCTGGTGACGGTGAGGCTGTGTTCCCAGCCCAATCAACATGTTCCATTCCCAGTTGCAGTGACAGGTCTGTGATGGATGTGATTCAAGTGCTCTCATACACTGTAAAGATTTGTCACTCATAATGGTTTAATAAAATACCGACTGGTCAGTAGCTAGGCAAGTATAGGTGGGGCAACTAGACTAAGAATTCTGAGAAGAGTAAAGGCAGAGAGATGCAGTAGTCAGCCAGATGCAGAGGAAGCAAGATGAGAATGCCTCACTGAGAAAAGGTACCAAGTCATATGGCTAAACAAAGATAAGAATATGGCTAACTTAAGTTGCAAGAGCTAGTTAATAATAAGCCTGAGCTAACAGGCCAAACAGTTTATAATTAATATAAGCCTCTGTGTGTTTCTCTTAGACTGAATGGCTGCAGGACCAGGCGGGACAGAGACTTCTGTCTACATCCAAGTGCAAACACCAGGACTTCTAAAGGAAGGATTTCTCCTGTGTCTGCTGAGCTAATGGAGGTAAGGTTGGAAGCACTGCCTGTTCTCTGGCATAAAGAAAAACTCACTCAGAGGCAGCACTCTGAGGTGGGGAACCGAATTCTGGTAGCAATTTTGAAACATTTCTAAAACAGCACTGACTGAAGTAGATGCCCCTGGACTTTGGCTTTTCTGCTTATGAGAGCAGGAGACAGTCTCTTATCACCCATGTTGGGGACAGTTTCAATACACTGGGTATTTTCCTTTGATAAATAACCATGATATTGACTTTGTGAAAGGTCAACACAAAGTTTGCTTTCTTAAACTCTTGAGTTCTGGGATTAGTAGAAGTGCTGGTGTTCTATCAAATGCCAACAAATCATGGAAAATGACTGCCTCCCTAGGTAGTACTTTTAAGGTCTTTAGGATTTCAGGTCCATTTCTCAGGTGTCACCATGTCTGAAAATTTAGAGTCAGTTTTTAAAAAAAATAAATAAATAGCTGACCCTAATCCCAAAAGACGTGAGACAACAGGCTAATACAACAACTAGTGCGTCTTAACACAGACATGGCTTATGTTTTTCTGCCATAAGAAGGCTGTTTTTTGATAAATAAAATGGACAGATTTCTTCCCTAATATGCCCCCTGAGATTCTGGGATATAAAGGAAGGAATAGGATTGTGCCTGTGTATTATGCTCCTACAAGTACTCGGGTTTTTAACTTTGACTGGGTATTTAATAATGGAATTAACTGTGTGGCCTGGTAAAGAAATCAAATCCCATGAGAAGGCATGCAGAGAATGCACCCATCAGTTCCTCATCACTTCCAGAGGACACTGCTTAGACACATCTGCTGCATCTCTGCTCTGCTCTGAAAGGCCAAAAAACCAAGGCAACCTATCAATTAGAAACCTGGTTCCAGGGTGTGGTGGGATGGAGTGTGGTTGGGGAGAATTTGCTGGGAAGATACCCAGAGAAATTTTACAAACAGATCCTTGGACACCCAATGAGAAACTTCAGGGCATAAATGAATGGTCTGAGTACCCCCAAATAGTTCCAATCTGAAAGCACTAATAGTGTCACTACAAACAAAACAAAGGAACCAACGGTTAATCCCAGTTTTTAATCTCAGCATTCTGAGGCAGAGGCAGGTGCACTCTGTGAGTTCAAGGCCAGCCTAGGCTACTGAGTTCCAGGACAGCCAGAGCTACACAGAGAAACCCTGTCGCTAAAAACAAAACAAAACTACAAAGAAAACAAATATCAAGGCACTAACTATGGCTGGACAGTGCTGTCCTAGAGTGGAAGCTACCAAGTCAGGAAGTAGAACTGTAGCTGCTTTTGCTTTCCAAAGGTGATCAAGCAACGGCTGGTCTGCAAAGTATGGTGGAAAATAATTCTGTAACACTCAGAAAGGACTTTTTTTCCGGGGGCGGGTTAATTTTGGGACAAGAAAAAAATCTAAGCTTAAGCAGAGGGAAATGTGTACCCAAAAATTATCAACAAAAACCTCATCACTCTTAACTTACACATGTTAGTCTTTAACACATGCATTTCCCCCTGCACCAGGAAGCGGGGCAGGGTTCTCACAGGGCTCCACAACCTTGGTGAGAGCGGCTGGCGTTAGCCAGGTGGATAGCGTGGGTGTGAAAAGTTGCCGACTCCATACTCTGAAAGTTTTATAATTAGCTCAATTTTAAAACTTACTTACAACATACGCATTGAAACAACCTCCCTAGTTCCCGATACTCGAGGCAGGGAAAGGATATTGAAAAAAAAAAACAAAAAAAAAACTAAAACAACCCCCCCCCCCAATAAAAGCAATAAAGAAAAAACACAAACATTCAATTGGGGAATTAATTTCTTTTAAACAAGTATAATCTACACCTGATTACATGAGCTTAGTCTACTTACTCATAATCCATATAATAGTATTATCCTTCCTACGTACCTATCTCCCTCCCTCCCTCCCTCCCAAACGACAATAGGTTCTCTCTCATGTTTCTTAAATTCGCTTTGATCCTCACCTTATGGTCCTTCTGCATCCATGTCCTCAGTGCTTAGGTGACAGGCACTGGCCACTTGTGCAGTGACAGTGACTGAACCCAAGGCTTTGCACACCTATGCAAATACTACACTGACTGAGCAGCTAGCTCTCTAGCCTGTACTATTTTATTTTCTTTTATGAAGATTTTAATGTGAATGTGAACCACGGGGCACACGTGGGGTACAGGTGAGAATAACTTTTCAGTATGCTTTCTTGTTCCACCATGTGGTCTCAGGGGTTCAACTTGGGTCCTCAGGACTGATGGCAAAAGCTCTAACTCACTGAGTCATCTTACTGCTCCTATACTATTTTAAAGTGCTGTCTTAAGTAAAGGAAATAATTTCGTTTTTGAAACAAGCCCAACTTCCTTGATTGCACATAGCTTCAGTTTGGTTCTGAGTTTCAACATGTAGGATTATCTTTATAATTTCAGTTTCTTTCTCATTTGTAGAAACTTTCTGTAACAGTCTTCTGAATTTACAAGCCACTTCAAAAGCAATGTTTCTTTACCACTTCTTCAATAGCATTTAAGTTAATAAAAAAAAAAAAAGAGTAAGGAGGGGCAGCTCACTTGCTGGGCACTGCACTTACCACTTTCTCCTTGGATCTCAGGACTCCCAGCTTCCCGAAGCGCACGTGAAAAGGTGAGCACTGATAGGTGCCATCCTGCTGTCGCACCACGACAACATCGATGCACCCAGACAACGTGGCTTGGTTAATGCCCTTGTAGAGTTCCTTTACAGTGACGAGCACTTGCCCAGCCAGCTGGCCCACATAATTCATGGTTTGAGACTGTAAGAAAATGAAGATGATGTCAGCACTGAGGTTTACAACTAATAAAATGACCAAAAAAAAAAAAGTTTTAATTAAACACACACTTGTTTGCTATTCCGGGCCCATTCCTTTCCTGCTGCTGCTGCTGTGGGTCACACATCACTAGGACAGACTTCTGACTGGGAGCCTGCCTCTAGGTGGGGCTGCGGAAGCTCCATTTCCTTTTACACTCCCAGGGTGGGGCCCACTGTCACCAGGGAGCCCACCTGTTCTATCTCCTTCCACCAACAGCTCAGGACCAGAAGAGAAGCAACTGAAGAGCAGTCACAGCTGCAGTCTTGGCATGCACGGTGTTGGACCCTGCTGCATCCACTCTGACCACAGCAGCCAAGCAGAAAAGGCCCTGGTTATGCATACATCAAATACACAATTTTTAAATTTTTACGTTATCGAGACAGAGTCTCATTGTGTAGTCCTGGCTGGCCCAAAACCAGAGAGATACATTAGGTAGCTTTTGAGCTCACAGAGATCTGTGAATGCTCAAGATCTGCCTGCTGAATGCTGGGATTAAAGGCTATGCCACCACGACTGGCCAATCTCTCTCTAGGGTCTCATTTTGTAGCCTAAATTGGCCTCGAACTCAAGGCCAAATAAAATCCTATTTTAGCCTCTCAAATGCTAGGCTTACAGGTGTGTGCCACTGTATCTGACAGTAATTACTTCTTGAACAAAGAAAGAAAAAATCAAACGAACTATCAATACATAAGCTAGACCAATCAATAAGCTAAAAGCACGCACTGTGTGTGGCAGAAACATTGCTCCATCAGAAGACTCACAGATCACGTCACTGTATCTCTTTCTTCTTCTTCATCTTTTTGTTTATTTTCTTTGACATGGTTTCACTATGTAGCCGTGTGTGTCTGGAATTCACTCTGAGGTCCCTACTGGCCTTGACTCAGAGATCCACTTGCCTCTGCCTCTTGATTTTCACCAGGCCCGACTGATTATACTTTTAAAAATTAGCCTTTCTAGATCAGAAGTTCAAGGACAGCCTGAACTATCTCCAAAACACCAAATAAACAAATGAATTAGCAAACTGTCTTCCTACTGTGAGACCAGTGTAGGTTGCAGAGTTTTGAGAAAGAACACAGCAAAACATCACAACCAGTGTCGTCTTCTCCCCAGTTCCTAGCAACCATTAATATGTTTTCTATTTCTGAAATTTCTGTCATTTTAGGAAGGAAGTCATATAAATAGCATCATAAACTATTTAGTCTTTTAAGACTGCCTTCTTTCCCTCATATTTTTTGAAGACTTATCCATATGGCTGTATCAATAACTCATTCAATTTTCCTGCTACATAACATTTCATGGCATAAACTTATCATGAAAACAAAACACAACAAAACCAAACCAAACCCCTTTACTTGTTGAAGGACAGGTAACTGTGCTTCTGGCTATTACAAAGAAGACATAGTTCTAAGTATCTGAGCACAGGTCTGTGTGAATGTGCGTTTTCATATCCTAGGGCAAATGCCTAGGACAACTGCGTGCAAACCAAGTGCAGGCTTAGCTGTTTTGGATCTGTCCGACTACTACTTTCCAGGATTACACTACCATTCACATTCCCACCCGCAATGGGAGGTGGGAGGTGAAATTATCTGGCATCCTCACGATACGTGGCATTACTGCTTACTCTAGCTTTAACAACATATAATGACTCGCATTTCTTTAATAGCTAATAATGCTGAGCACTCTGTTCGTGTACTGCTCCACCTCTTGAGTGTCGGTCTACAGTTCGGAAGAGCCCTTGTCTCACTGTCTACAGTTCGGAAGAGCCCTTGTCTCACTTAGAGGGAAATGAAATGCAGATCTTTGTTCCCACTTCTGTGGGCAAAGATTATCTCTAACCAGAACCGATGTGAAGTTCATTTGGAGGTCGTTCATCATATCACCTCCTTTCCCAGGAAGTGCTTCTCTGCCTCCTAGAATGCTCTGAGTTGCCCTGTTCTGTAAAGCACAAATGTTCAGGACATGCTCTTTTGCCTATTGCAACATATTAGCTAGGTGGCACACAGAGTCAGTATTACTTGACTGATTGAGGATGGCAATGCTAAAATGTTACAATTTGTAAAACAAAAAAAACGTCACACTATAGACCTTAAAAAAAGAAACTGAAAACAGCAAATTTTAAACATCAGCCATAAACCACCATGTTCTAAATGTAACAAGCTTACATCAACTAGTACATACAATCCATAATTAAGTGTAACAACATCTATTCAGGAAGACTTTAATTACTGTGGTTAAGAGTTGTGCTGGTATACATAAAGTAACTATTGTAGAAAAGTTAGTTGCTAAATGTAGAAAAATACAGGCTGTCAAGAAACTCATTTTCTCTTGGAGGACATGAAGCCATTGGGTTTATATTTTGTAGGCTGAGAAAACAAAAATATATGGAGGCCAGGGCCCTACCATGTACTACACCCCGGAAATGGCCAGGAACAACCTGTCAGCTACACAATACATCTAATAACTGAACTTTCAGAGAGCTCTCTACACCCCAACGTAGACTATTTTGAGACAGGATTTCACTGTATGGTCTGGACTGTCCTGGAACTATGCAGACTAGGTTAGCCTCAAATTCACAGACCTGCCTCTGCTTTCAGAGTGCTAGGGTCAGAGGTGTGCACCACCATGCCTGCAAATAAATTTTAAAAGATAAGGAAGCTCAAACGTCAGAGAAATAGGTGATGTTATAGGGTGGACACTTATGTGTGTCTCCTTTCCACCCCCACTCCATGTACTGAGGCCCTCACCTCTCAAGTGAAGGGATTTGGAGATGGGCCTTTGGAAGGTAACCAGGGTTAGGTGACCAGAAGTGTCTCACCCTCACTTGTGTCCTTATGTACACAGAAAGACAGAGACAAGAGTCAGCATTTTTTTTTACCCTGCCACGTGAGGACATAACAAGATATCGGCAAGTCTATAAAAAGGTGCCCCCCCCCCCAACACATACACTGAACCTCTCAGCAACTCAGCCTTGGACTTTAAGCCACACCAGATTTGTAATAAATGTCTATTGTGTAATCCACATTAGTTTAGGTCAGATGCTATCCATGACATTCTGTTCTAACCATCCCACGTGTCTTCTTAAACAGCATATGCGGCAATCACTTCAGCTCCAAAACAGACAGTACCAGCTCCAGAGACCACTTTCCCAAACAGCTCTACCTACTTACCATACACAGGAATCACACTAAACACTGCCACCCTCCAGTGACACAACTGCATCTCTAATGGAGGAGGGTCATCTGTCTATTGGTTAATAAAGAAACTGCCTTGGCCCTTTAATAGGACAGAAAATTAGGTAGGCGGAGAAGACAGAAGAGAATGCTGGGAGGAAGAAGCAGAGTCAAACAGTCGCCATGATTCTCCCACTCGAGACAGGCGCAGGTTAAGATCTTTCTTGGTAAGCCACACCTCGTGGTGCTACACAGATTATAGAAATGGGTTAATCAAGATGTGAAAGTTAGCCAGTAAGAGGATACAGCTAATGGGCCAGGCAGTGTTTCAAAGAATCCAGTGTGTGTGTTATTTCGGGTGTAAAGCTGGCCGTGCGGGCAGCCCGCGGCTCCTTCTACACATCTCGGGGGTTTCTGAGTAGTCACAACTGCATCTCACTTATCATTCTGGCTGTGCACCCTACTCTTTAAAGAATGCCTCAGTCTGCTCTCACTTCTATGACAATCTAGACACAAGGGTTCAGTAACAACCTGAATCATAGATTAGTAGGACTGACCAAGAGGACATATTGTTTGATGGCTACTCAGTACTTTTTAAGATCAAACACACCTCATTCAATCTTTAAAAATAGGACATGAGTTTGCAAGGGCAGCACCATTGTATTTTGTGAGCAAGACAGAGACAAGTTTGCGCCCTACTACTGTTCACTAAAACCAGTTCCACCTCAGCTCAGGGTCCCAAACCGTGTTCCTAAGGCTGAGTTAACCTTGTAGGGTAAAAGGGGCCAGTCAAAGAAAACCCTGGCCCCAAGACCACGGCCAAAGAACACACCTTGCCCCTAACCAATCAATCCCAGAGCACAAAAATCAACCGATTCCTAGGCATGAAATCCAACCAATCTCTGAGCTTGTCGCAAGCTCAGTAATTGAAATCCTACTAATCCCCACCCTGAAAATCTCCACCATAGAAAGTTTCACCCCTAAGAAAGCCTATATAAGCCCTGTACCTGTTCAGTTTGGGGTTGCCTTTTTCTGCTCTGGCAGGGTGGCCAGTCTCCTGGAGCAGAGCGGAGTGGTGGGTGACACTTCCCCATAGCAGAGCAGAGCGGCGGGTGACACTTCCCCACAGCAGAGCAGTGCAGAACTGTGATGACCTCACGGGGGAAGCCTCCCCTGCTGGGGCAGAGTTGCTACCTGTGCATTAGTCCCCACAGCAACAGTGCTGTTAGGATACTGTTCCCTTCCAAGCTGGAGGTCATCCTTGGCTTCTGACTGCCAGGATCCCTTTCCCTTCAGAGCTGTAACATTAAATCCTGGCAGTTTTTCTCCAACCCAGGATAACATAAAGGTGAGAATAAGCTATGAATTTGATGATAAATGGGAGCAGTGGCAAGGGTGCCCAGAGAGTCATCTGCTGCAAGTTCCTCTCTGCCCTTTCCAGAACTGGCAGGGAAATCAAATCCCAGGGACTTGCCCACGTCTTGTAGGGACCTGACTTGAGTTTCATAAAATGTTTAGAGTATAAGCAGCTGGTACGACAAGGATAGCAAAGGAGGAACGAGGTGACAAACTGAACAGAAAGGAGCGAGCGCAGGCAGTGTCAACAGCAAGCAGCACCACTGATAGCAGAGAGCTTGACAGAGCATCTGGCTTCCTGAGAAGCTGCCTCCAAATAAGGGCCTCATTTTGCACTGCCGTTTAGTTCCCACAATAACTGCTAGTTTATTTCTTCAATTTTCATTATTTTATAAAACAAGAAAAAGGAATAGCACA